AGCAGATGGCCTGTGGGAGAGCCCTGGGGAGGCATCCTCTCCTCAGCTCTGCATGGTGTGTGAAGGGCAGAGGCAGGGCCACAAAACTCTCTGAATTTTTAAGAGTATCCTCAAGACTGGATTTTTATGAAAATTCTACCCCTATACAACATTTATTCATGTTTTCATTATTTAATGAATGCCTACCTTGTGCTGATCTAAGCCTGACGATACAGGACAGAGCAAAAGCCTTTGTTTTGGGGAGCTTCCTGTCTCACAGGGGAGACAATCTTGAAGACTAAGTCACTTGTTGAATATATTAGATAGTAAAAACTGCCACCTCCATTTTATGGAGAACTATAACTCAAGGGAGGAAGATCCGGAGGGCTGGAGGTGTGTTATGATTTTGAATAAGGGCATAACTGAAAAGTGACCTTAGAAATCTCCCCTATGTCACAGCTAGTTCATTCATTCAGTACAATCATTAGTACTTACTGGGCACTTATTCTGTACAATGCATGATTCCAGGTCCTGGAGATTGGCTGATGACAGATAAAGTCCTTCCTTCCATGGATAGACAACAAACAAGGAACCAAATAGGATAAAGTCAGACAGTCATTCATGGCAACGAAGGACACAAATCAAGGAAATGTGTTGGGGCAGAGGAGTTGGCAGGGTGGACAGGGCAGCTGGAGAAGGCCATTCTAAGTGACAGTGGGGTGGGCTAAAGGGAATCTGCTGTGCAAAATCTGGGAAAAGGTGGTCAGGACGGAGCAGTTAGCAAGGGCAAAAGCTATGAGGCCTATTGGGCACACCTGTACTCTTTGGGAGGCCAACCTGGAAGGATTGCTTGAGGCCAGGAGTTGGAGACCTTCCTGGGCAACACAGTGAAATCCCAGCTCTACAAAATTTAGCCAGATACAGTGCTGCTCACCTATAGTCCCAGATATTCGGGAGGCTGAGGTGGGAGGCTCACTTGAGCCCAGGAGGTTGAGGCTGTAATAAGCTGTGGTTGGGTCACAGCACTCCAGTCTCGGTGACAGAGCAAGACGCTATCTCCCAAAAAACAAACAGAAAGCTGTGAGGTGGGAACGAGCGTGCTGGGAGAGGAATTGCTTCATGTGACAAAGGAAAGCACAGATGGCTTGGAAACCCCTGACTGAGGTCAGATGCAGGGGACACTGAAACAGAAAACGTCTCCTCTCTTTCCTCTAGATGCCATTCCCTCCCCTACAGGTGCTTTCCGGGCCTCGTGTCACCCTTGAGCTCTTTCTCTTTCGTGCTTGGTCTCAGAAAAGAACATGATAGCTCGTATATACTAAAAAAAAAAAAAAAAAAAAATCAAGACTAAAAAGAGGTTATTCCTCCTAAAAGTATTTACATGTGGATTATAAGACTTTAATTATGAATTTTGATGCATCAGCTATTTGTATATTGGAGTATTTTACTGTTGGGGGAATACAATAATTTTTTATTGCTGCTGTAACAAATGACCACAAGTTTTAGTGACTTAAAACAACATAAATTTATTCTCTTACATTTCAGAAGATCAGAAATCCAAAATGTCTCAGCAGGGCTGTGCTCCTTTTGGAGGCCATAGGGGAGAATCCATTTCCTTCTCTAGCCCCTAGAGGCTGCCCAGTTTCCTTGGTTTGTAGCCTTGCATCACTCTGAGTTCTCTTCTGGCATCAATCCCCTTTTCTAAGTTTGACCCTCCTGCCTCTATTTTTTTTTTAATTTTTGAGAGAGAGTCTTGCTCTGTTACCTAGGCTTGAGTGCAGTGGTGCCCTCATAGCTCACTACAACCTCAAACTGCTGGGCTCAAGAGATCCTCCTGCCTCAGCCTCCCAAGTGGGTGCCCATCACCACATCTGGCGATTTTTTTCTTTTTTCTTAGAGATAGGGTTTCTCTATGTTGCCCAGTCTAGTCTTGAACTCTTGGCCTCAAGTGATCCCCCTGGCACGTCCTCTCAGAGTGGTGGGATTACATGTGTGTGTGAGCCACTACCCATGGCTTCCCACTACCCGCCACTACCCATGGGCTCCTGCCTTCCTCTTATAAGGACCTTGTGATTACTGTGAGCCCACTTGGATAATCCAAGATAATCTCCCCATCTCAAGAGCTTTAATTTAATCACATCTTCAAAGCCCCTTTTGCCATGTACAGTATAACATATTCACAGGTTATAAGAATTAAGACAGGGACATCTGTGGGGGCCGTTATTATTTCTACCACAGAATATATTATTCTGGGGTCTATGTGTTGGTCACCCTACTTTCAGGCTGCTTCTGCTCATTATCTCTATTGGAATTTTGGGAATGAAGGGCAGATTGCCTAAACCAGTTGCGTAATTCTCCTTTATCTTATTATTTTATTTTTTTGAGACAGAGCCTCAAGCTTTCCCCCTGGATAGAGTGCTGTGGCATCACAGCTCACAGCAACCTCCAATTCCTGGGCTCAAGTGAGTCTCCTGCCTCAGCCTCCCAAGTAGCTGGGACCACAGGTGCCCACCACAACGCCTGGCTATTTTTTGGTTGCAGCCATCATTGTTTGGTGGGCCCCGGCTGGATTCGAACCTGCCACCTTAGGTGTATGTGGCTGGTGCCTTAGCCACTTGAGCCACAGGCGCTGAGCCAATTCTCCTTTATCTTAACTGCAGATTCTAATCTCACTGGAACTTGAAAAGCAACGGTCTAGTGAGCAGAAATTAGCAGGAGCCTGAGTCAGGGACCTAAAAGGATGGCCATTACTGTTTACCAAAAAGTCAATGTACTGTAATGAGAGCTACTCACGGGGAGTGGGGGCACGGAGCTACTGTTCTCAGCCTTGTGGTGCTTGGGGAAGCAGTTCTGTTCTTGAACTTTCCAGCAGAAGAGGGCATTGAACCCTGTGGCTTAATTTAAGGTCTCTGCACTGTTTGGCTTCCAAACTCTCAAAGACTGGTCACCCTAAGGGGTCGGAGGAATGAGGCAGATCAGTACCTTAATGAACATTGTCCATTTCATAAGCCAGACTCTATCACCAGGTCCTACTCTGAAGGCTTTGTTTTTTGGATTCTTCCCATGCACATGGCTTTGACTTATTACCCTTTTTTCCTTCACATGTCTGTTTTGTTCAGCTACTTGCTGAGTTAGAATGTTTTCTGTTCCTCAGAGTCACATTGTCAAAGCTTTGTGCCTTATTCACTTAGGAGGCATAGGACCCCCTCACTATCTCCTGTATACTTTTGCAGTTTTTGATGTGTACATGCTATTCTCAATATTGATTGATAAATGCAAAAGCGAGTTTATCAGGCATTCACCTGTTTAACTGCTATAATTCAGTAAAATAACAGTTTATGAGGATTTCTAAAGTAAGCTGACTTTAATTTTTATTGTTAACTGATATTGTCTTAAGGTAAGTTAGACTTTGGAGACTTCAGAGGAATATGAATCCTTCCACACTTAGAATCGTTAAATATTATTTTAGAGGAGATTTATGTTGTTGACTTTGAGTAAACATTTTCACAACTGGACCAGGAGACACAATACGGAGAGCCTGAGCTGGGGAATCAAAAGGATGATTCTAAAATGAAGATGGCTGTGGGTTCCATTTTGGCGCTGTTTCTCCTACATGATCTTAAGTAGCCCTTCCAAGCTTCAGTTTCCTTCTCTATTAAATCAGGGCAGTCACAGTACACTGTTACACTTTCACAGGGTTGTGAGGAGTAAAAATAGATCGTAAGTCAAGGGCTTAATACATGGGGCAGGTAATCAATATATAGGTTCAGTTAGCCCTAGCTATGCTGCTGAGGGCCTGTAACCATAGGATTCAAAACACTTACTTGGGTAACATGAGACCAAGACACCTGAGTAAGGGCAGTGTGTACCCGCCACATTTGTTTCATTTATTGGCTATAATGGTGTTTGTGCTATGCCTCAGATTGCCAGCTGTCGGGGTGTGGACTAGGCATCTTATAACAAGTTCTAAGTATGTATCTCTCAGAGTATAATAAAACATTATTTAAAACCATTGTTTGAAAGTGAAAAATAGTTACAAAAGTACTGAACTTTTCCCTGGTAGCCAGTAATAATAGTTATGGGTTTGCTACGGCAATGTAACAAATTCTAGAAGAAATTGTTCCTAAAAATCTTCTCACTAGAGCTAAAATTAAGATAGGCCGGCTGTCTTAAATGACTCTGGAGGCATTCGTGGGGAGCAGAAGAAAGCAGAAACCCAGAGGCAACATGCTAGGATTACCTGGCTACCATCTTTCTCTGCTTCCTAGATTGCGTCTGGGGCGCTCTGACCTGTAAGCACCTGCTGTTTAAAAATTTCAGCTCTCTCAGTCCCTACATTTACCGAATTTGGATCTTTGAGGCAGAGCTCAACGACTCCCTTCCACATGATGCAGCTTCGAAGGTGTGCTCAGAAAGGATGAAGGCTTCCCAGATCTTTGCTCCACCACTGCCTGCACGTCTCACTCAATTGGAGGAAAGCTCTGACTTACAGATTCTTCGTTTTCCTATAAGCCTGGCCTCAAGGGGATGGTCCAACCTTTTTTTCTTCTCTACTGCAAGTTAGAAGAAGAGTTGTCTTGGATCATACATTAAATACACAAACACGAACAAAAGCTGATGAGCAAATAACCCCAAAAGGTCCATGCATAATTTTCGCTATATCGGACACCGCGGATAAGCAAAACAGCGGCAGGATGGACATTCTTTGAATCCAGCCAGGGCCCCCTGCCATGCCCCTCTTCTCAGACAACCACACTAGCGCCTATACCCTCCTGCTTTGGGGCCACCATGGTTAGTATTTTGGGGAAACTAGGACGTCCAACAACAGCAGTGCAGCCCAAGCGACTATCTTAATTCATCCAGAGACTGAAAAAGGGAGAGAAGCTGCAGGCCCAGGCTCAGGACAAGCGTCCTTGGCAATATCTCGCCGCCCCGCCTCCCACAGGTGGAGGGCGGGGCAAAGGGCCAGTCGGCGCCCCGCCCCTCCGGCCGCGCTCCGAGGGCGGAAGTGACGCATCCCGGAGCCATTTCCGGCGGGTCGAAACTAGGAAGAAACTTGGAGCTGCGGGGACGCTCCAGACACGGTTTCCGTTTGCTACTCCTGTGCCCGGTGGCCCGGGCCGCGCTGAGCCGTCGGGAGCCCTTGCCATGGGGCAGCCCGGGCCTTCCGCAGTGTGAGGCGCGGGGCCTCCTGCGGACTCCTGTGACAGGCCGAGGTTGGGCGGGCGGGAGGTGTCGTTTCAGCCACGGTCGCGGCCGCCGCCGCCTGCCCTGGCCGTGGCATCATGAACATAGATGTGGAGTTCCACATCCGGCACAATTACCCTTGGAGCAAGTTGCCGACCAACGTGAGACAGGTACGGCCAGAACCTGGGACTGGGCCCCCGATAGGTTCGGCCCCGCCCCATTGTCACCTGCTGGCCTCGCCTGCGGGTCCGGGGCCGGCTGCTCTCGGCTGACTCCTGCCTGGGTTTCGGGAAAACTGACCTGCAGCCCAGAGGTGAATGGGGGCGGCTCTGGGGCCACAGGGTCCAGGGTGGAGCTGTAGCTCAATGGGATGGAATGGTGTCCACAGGACTCGACTGGCGCCTTTCCTGAAGTCTGTTCAGCCGGGTGCCTGCTGTAGAGATTTAAAACGCAGTTCTTGACCCCAGAACTTCAGGAGGGTGTGGAAGGAACAAGCAACAAATGAATACGATACAGGGTGATAGCAGCTCATACGTGCCTTCATTATAGTGTCTGTGGGAACAGGAAGAAATTGTCAAGGGAGAGTTGGGAGGATGTGTAGTGAAGGCATTTAAATTGGACCTTGGAGGACGACTAAGAGTTAGATAAGAAGGAATAAAGATTTTTCCAGGGAAAGGAAAGTCACTTTTAAAAGATTGGAGATGGTAGTAGATGAGGCTGGAAGAGTAGTCAGGGTCAGATTTTGAAGGAGTCTGCATGCTTTGTTTTGTTGGATGTTATCTGTAGACAAGATGGGTTTATTATCAAAGAGGCTTCAACAAGAGAGTGTGACAACGAGGTTTTTGAGAGTTACTGCTTAAGTTTTAGAGTGTCAGTTTTACTCGTTTAAAAGATATTTGGTGAGCACCTGATAGGTATGCTTTGTAGATGTAGGTAATTTGCGGTGGTCGACAAGACCCAGCCTTCGTGGAGCTTAAATAAACTATGGAGCATAAATATGCATTGTGGAAAGATAGACAGTAAATAAGTGAAAAAAATACACAAATTAGCAGGTGGTATTAACTCTTCTGAAGATAAGATACTGTTTTTCTGGTTATACATTCAGCTATGGTTCCTTCCATTACGCTTGGTTGAGAGCTGAATTGTTTTCTGTTGGTGCTGAGCAGTGGTATTTTTGGAAAGTTTGGGATAGTGGTGGTGATGGTATAAGCATTGTTGTAGTTTAACTCCAGAATTTAAGGTTCTGGTCATGCATATGTAACAACAAAAATGCTTTTGTTTTAAAATACTGAAAACCAAAGAAATGAAAAGACTTCTTTTTTTTTAGAGACAGAGTCTCACTTTATTGCCCTCGGTTGAGTGCTGTGGCATCACAGCTCACAGCAACCTCCAACTCCTGGGCCTAGGTGATTCTCTTGCCTAAGAATCTACAGGCGCCCACCCCGACACCCAGCTATTTTTTTGTTGCAGTTTGGCTGGGGCTGGGCTCGAACCCTCCATCCTCAGTGACCCATTTTTCACCCATTGTGGTACTTACCTAACTGTGGGGCATTTTCTGCTTCTATACGCCTACCACTGAGCCACAGGCGCCACCCCTGGAAATACAAATTAAGAAATGTAGAATATCCTGGGTGTCAGTGGCTCCCCATGTGACTTTGAAGTGGGAGAACAAAGCAACCTGAAGGATTAAGTTTCTCTTATTAAGCCTGAATACGGACTTTGAAGGACACTTTTGTACTTTAGGGTTTTCTGGTAAGTCTGAAGACAACCCGAAGAACCAACAATCCTCCTTTTCTGTGTTTCTATTTTTACTCTTCCTTTCATCAAACTAAATGTAGCATAATGGAAGGAAAATGAGTAATTAGATTATACCCAACATGAATAATTGACTTTAATTAGTATTGGCAAAAAGGTTTCTAAAACTTAGTCAGGATTATTTAAAAATAACCATAGGACATTGTTAAAATTAGGTCCAAATGTGAAATTTAGCCGAAGTTTTTTGTTGTCTTTTTAAAGATCATTCAAAGCAATGGTTGTTTTAGCTCAAGATAAGCTAGGCCATTAATACATCTTGCCAAATTTATTTGTGTAGGTTTACTTTGATAGACTTTCTCCAGCCTTAGCCACTGTTTCCTTCAGTCAAGGTTTATGTCAGCTTTCCATTTGGTCTCATCGTTTTAGAGGGTGAGGTTTCTAAAATGCAAACCCAATCTTATCTCTGCTGGTCTCGTATGTTGCTTGTAGCTTCTTTTTCAATCAGTCTCATAGTCGCTCCTCCTGGGAAGTTTCCTTGACCTCCTAAACCTCAGTGGTTGGAGGTTTGCTGGATGTGGTAGCACTGGATTTTTCACCCCTTATGGTACTTATCCAACTGTGGTGCATTTTCTGCGTCTGTTACTTGTTTCACTTTTGTACCCTGAGTACCTTTCACATAGTTGACTTTTAGTAAATATTTGTGGAGAGCATGAATGATGGCATCAGTCAGAGATTTTTCCTAGGCAGCTAAAGCCCATTCAGAAGTGGGACATTTCCCTCATACGGAGAGAACTTGATTTGTCTTTTGACTTATAAAGTACTTTGATAGAGTTTCCAATAAGTTTTGATGGGTTTAATTGGGAAACATCTTACATTTCCCAGTTATGTAAGTTGGGGCAGGTGATTCAGATTTTTTTTTTTTAAGAAAGTATTTTAAGCCAATTTCATTTTATATGGACAGTTGAAACATTTTTTTGGTAGATATGGGTCATGCTAGACTTTTAAAAATACATTAAAAAGTTGTAGATGGGGCCATTATTTCTTTATTTTCTACAGCTTACCACTATCTTGTATTCATTTTCATAGTCCTTTTATTTTAAGGGAAATCTTATGATGAGGTTCTGTATAATCCAAGGAGGGTCAATTAGAAAAAATTTTTTTGGTGAGGGGAGGAGGATGCACTTTAAGATGTACATGTGGGGTTTGGGGTTTGTAGGAACAAAGCGTTTAGGAAGTCTTTGTGCTTTCAGCAGGATCTTCTGCACAGTGGGGGCTTTGCAGCTGGCACCTTTTCCTTGCCACCTTCACGTGTTACAGTCCCTTTCATATGCAGCTCAGCGTCATTTGTCAGACCTGGTTAATATTTTTTCAGTCTCAGAATAAGAAAATCTTTTAAAAATTACCTCCTGTAGTGGCAACAGTGTTTTAAAATGTGAATGGTAGGAAATTTGAGGTAGAAGTGGGAAGGGAGCCCAAGCGATTTTATTTCACATATTTGGCTAGAGAAGAACAAAGCCAACTTTTAATGTGGGTTTAGATATTTGTGTGCGTACACATGTGTTGATTGATCAAGACCAGTCATTACTTGACGCCTGCATAGCTTACCTGCTTGTTAGGTAGCATATTCTCTGATAAAGCCTACAAATAATGGATCCTTGTATTTTATGTGACCCTTCCTTTTATTATGGAGTTAACCAGGAATGGAGTTTGAAAGGGAGGAAATGATTGTAAGTTAGGGTAAATTAAGACTTATTTGGAAACAGAAAAGTGAAACCTCAGTTTGGAAATTGCTAAGATTTCAGCAAAATTTTGTGCTTGTGTGTATGTGCATATGCGTGTATTTTGTGTTCCCTGAGAAAGGACTTATTTGGCAGTGGAGGTAGAGAAAAATCTCTGAAAGTTTTATAGAAAACATTATTTTGACTCCCCTAAATATGTTCAGTCCTGACCCTGGATTTGAGGCTACAAAGTGTAGTTTCTGTACAGTGAACTCTGTTCCAAACCACTTTAATGCTCAAACAGATGGAAATAATATAAGCACATACATTTTGGCAGTAATTTGAGTTTGTGGTAGACTAATCTAGATGCAGGAAGAAGGATACAGTTGACCCTTGAACAGCATGGGAGTTAGGGGCACCTGTGCCTACACAGTTGAAAATCTGTGTGTAACTTTTGACTTCCCCCAAACTTATCTAATAGCCTTCTATTGACTGGAAGCCAACACAGATGGTTGATTCAACACATACTTTGCATGTTATATACTGTATTCTTACAATAAGCTAGAGAAAGGAAAATGTTATCAAGAAAATCAAGGAAGAGGGAATATTTTACTATTCATGAAGCGAAAGTGGATCATCGTAAAGCTCTTATTCTTGCTGTCTACACGTTGAGCAGACTGAGGAGCAGGGGAAGAAGAGGAGCAGTTGGTCTTGCTGTCTCAGGGATGGCAGAGGTGAAAGAAAATCTGCCTCGGCTCGACGCCTGTGGCTCAAGTGGCTAAGGCACCAGCCACATACACCTAAGGTGGAGGGTTCAAATCCAGCCCGGGCCTGCCAAATAACAATGATGGCTGCAACCAAAAAATAGCCGGGCATTATGGCGGGCGCCTGTTGTCCCAGCTACTTGGGAGGCTGAGGCAGACTTGCTTGAGCCCGGGAGTTGGAGGTTGCTGTGAGCTGTCCAGGGGGACAGCTTGAGGCTCTGTCCACCCCCCACCCCCCCAAAGAAAATCTGCCTCTAAGCAGATCTGTGCAGTTCACACCAGTGTTTTTCAAGGGTCAACTGTACTTAGTTTTCTTGCATCGTGTCCCATTTTTCTTAAATTCTTACCCACCAGTGGGTCCAGTTCTGAGCCAGTTTACTTAGATATAAGTTCATCCTCTTGTGAAGATTGCCTTAAGTGAAATATATGCGTATGGACATTTGCTTTGGCTTTCAAAAACTAATGAGTAAGAAACATGGTGAACGGAATCCACTGATCTTTCTGTAATTACTTTCCTAAGATGTCTAATTTCACTTCACAATGTATTGGAAAGAGCATACCTAGTGGTCTAATCAAGAAGGGGGATAGCCAGTGTACTCAATACTAATATGAAGCCAGCAGATGAACTAATATCCGCCCACATAAGGGAAAAACTCAGTGCAATTGAAGTTGGGGGCAAGGGGAGGGAGGGGGAGAGAAGAGGAAGGGGGATTGGTATGCTCCCACTGAATGGGCACACTGTGAGGGTATATGGCGTACCTCCTGAGTGGGACACTACAGCAGAAATCTTAATGCAAACATTGTAACCTAATTGTTTGTGCTCTCATATTAATCTGAAGAAAGGGGGAGGATAGCAGGCATGTATTATATTTAAGTTTGTGGTTCACATTGAATATAATAATGTAGACTATCATCAGGCAGATTTACTTTTTGCTTTCATGAGCACTCCAACTTTGAACTTAAAACATTAAGTTCAGATAGAAAGGTTTTTTGCTTATTAAAAAATGTATCAGAATTCTAAAATTGTCCAAATGTTTTCCAATGTAGCTATTAAGGAGATGACTTTTAAATACACACTCTTAATGTACATACTCCAGAAATCTAAATCTTTAATAGAGAGACACAGCCTTCAGCTACAGATAATTATCAGAGATCTGTTTGTCCTTAGTTGTTGTTTTTAAATTTAAATAAATGTGGGTGCAGCAATCATCTCTCTATTTAACATACAAATTGGGGACAGTCAGGAAGGAAATCTTCTAAGTAGAACTTAATTTTTTTTAAGTCAAGTTATGCTCTCATACTGCTTTTTTATTTGATGTTAAATACTTTGGATAATTTTAGTAAGCCCTTTTAGAAAGGCAGGCTGAAAAGAAACACATTGAGTTTTGCTCTAATATTATAGCAGGAAAGTTAGTATGGCTATAATTTAAGAAAGTATTCTTTATTTAGTTTTAGAAGCCGAGATAAAATTAGAGGTCATGATTTTAAAATCTTATGGTAAAAGTACTATTGTTCAGTTTGGAAGCTATTTAAAATCTGTTTGAAATTTCTTTTAGAGTCTTGGAAATTCACAGAGAGAATATGAAAAGCAGGTTGTCTTATACAGTATCCGCAATCAGTTACGATATAGAAATAACTTAGGTAAGTAGAGACATTTTTACATTGGGATGGAAATGACTATTACTGACACTTCATCATTTTGGTAAATCTGTCGTCTTTTCAATACATATTTCTAGCACTGAAATTATTCCAATACAAACTTTTAAGAAACTATACTAACCCATTCCACCTAACAACAATTTGTATTGGCATGTAGTTTTTCTTTCTGATTCTGATAAAAATTCTTTTTTCGAGTTTTCTTTATAGATTTATTTTACCTATAAAATACTAATCTTAATTCAAATGTTCTCTTTTTGTCTGAGGTGAGAAAATATACCATATGTGACTTTGGGTTTTGTTTTGTCCCCGTAAATTTTGCAAATATAACTTTAATGAAAAACTCGTTCCATGATAATTGGAACAAATGTTAAACATAGTTGGTTTCGTGATTTTTTTTTCCCTTTAATATTTGCTTTTTATTCATCAGATCATTTTGGTTAATCTATTCTGTTTGCCTGGCAGTCTTTCTCTCCTGTCTAGTACTTTTTAAGTATTATAGGTCAGAGATACTTTTTCTGTATAAACATTTTCTGTGAAAGTCAAAGGGCTTTTTACATTTAAAAAGCAAAATAAAACAAAAAACTTAGCAAATATTTAAAAATAGACTTGACTTCGCTGAAAACTAGCATTCAGTTTGGCTGTTTGTAAACAAATATTGTAAGGAATTTCATGCATTCTAGCCTATATTTTATACCTTTTTTTGTAGGGGGAGGAGGTCATGCTTGTTTTATCATTTGATAAGAGTTATTTTCCTGGCGTGGTGCCTGTAGCTCAGCAGCAAGGGCACCAGCCACATACATTGGAGCTGGAGGGTTTGAATCCAGCCCGGGCCTGCCAAACAACAATGACAACTACAACCAAAAAATAGCCGAGGGTTGTGGTCGGCGCCTGTAGTCCCAGCTACTTGGGAGGCTGAGGCAAGAGGATCATGTAAGCCCAAGAGTTGGAGGGTGTTGTGAGCTGTGATGCCACGGCACTCTATCGAGGGTGACAAAGTGAGACTCTGTCTCACCAAAGGAAAAAGAAAAAATTATTTTCCACTTACCTGTCCTGTTAATACATTTTACTTTTACTTGTATACTCTGAAGTCTATTTCTTGTTGTATAATTATTTCTTTGTTCCAACTTAGAATATTTTGTTTGTTATTTTCTAACTTACATACTTCTCTTTTGAATTACTGTTGGTTTGTAAAGTATTTCTTAACTAATAGTTATTATGTAGCTATAAGAAACTTGAAAAAAAACTGCTCAATTTCCCTCTTTCCTACAGTTAAACATGTCAAGAAAGATGAACGCAAATACTATGAGGAACTACTAAAGTACAGTCGAGACCACCTCATGCTGTACCCTTACCATTTATCAGATATTATGGTGAAGGGCCTAAGGATAACACCATTTTCATATTACACTGGGATTATGGAGGTGAGTTTACAGCATGGTTGAGCCATGGGGAAGGGGATGAGACTACATGTGGGGACTCTTGGATGATGACCAGCTCTTTGGTGCTCAGCTACAGTGGGCATGTTTCTGAACTTACAGAGTAAAAAGTATCGTAGGTCACCTATTATCTATTTGAGCCACACTTGTGCAAGTAGTTGTCATTGTTGATGTTTTCACATTGGAAAGGTATCTGTTTCTGTATTCTTGAAGGTGATATTGAGCCTTTATGCTATTGTAGTATTGATCAGTCATTTATGTTAGCAGACTGTATAAAAATTTATTGCTTTTAATACATGATTGAAGTTAAAAAATTAGGTGACATAATTAAACATTAAGCTCTGAGAAACTTAACTATCCCCTAACTGTATAAGAAATAAAATATGGTATAGACCCAACATTACATGATACATTTGTCAGAAAAGGGAAATTTATTAGTAGTCTTGGATATTAGTCTCTTTATGTAATTATTAACTTTTATTAATAGTTGTTAGCCTTTTTTCAAAGGCAGGTTTTAAGCTTGTGTTGAATAACTTTAATTCTAGTTATATGCTGGGTTTTTTTTTTGTTTGTTTGTTTGTTTGTTTTTTGTTTTTTTGGCCGGGGCTGGGTTTGAACTCTCTACCTCCAGCATATGGGGCTGGCGCTATACTCCTTAGAGCCACAGGCACCACTGGTTATATTCTGTTTTTAAGCGAGTTTTATAAGAAGATTGGTTATATTTATCTAGTATTCATTTGCTTCTTAATTATGGTTGAATGCTCTTATTTTGGGCTCTCTAGCCACTTGAAGAGCAGAGAGAAGCCTAAAACCAACAGAGTTGAGAACCTACAGTGACAGTTGCCTTTATGGTGCAGTGTCCTTTACTGGGAGCTCCATTTGCATATTTCCTAAAGCCCCTTCTCCCTGGGCACTTACTTGTACAGCCCATGTTTCCCATGTCCTTCTTTTGGAGGAAATGCTAGAAAAAGCTTGAGGCCTAATAGCCTGGGTATCATAGAAAAGAATCAGGGCAGCATAGTGAAGGTGGCATCTAATTAGTAAATAAAACAGTTACTGCTATTTATTTTTCTCATGTGATGCACAAGGTTTGCACCTTTAGAGGACAGAATAGATAGGACTTTTGTCCCATTTATCAACTTTCTTTTCAGTTACATACATGTGCTTGCTGCCCTTTGATTTCTGTTCAATCCAGGATATAGCTCCTGGATTGAGAATGGGTCTTACCCCTGCAGTAAACAGTTGGTTTATTATTGGAGAAAAAGATTGGGGTGGAAAAGCTGACAACTGAGTTTAACTCTGTTACTAATTTGGATCCATAGGTGCATAGTCTACTAAGGTATTAAAGTCTTTATTGGTAATGCATGTTTTGGATGCATGTTGGTGGAGCTATGACACATTACTCAGCCTTCTCTCAAGATAGAAGTCTGTGATCAGTGTGTTAGGCAGTGTAGTCAGACTAGAACCCTAGCTCTAATAGAGGCATTCCTTACAAAGCCTCCACAGGGCAGAGGTTGCAGGGCCACTCTCTGGGTTTCACAGAGAGTTCTGTAAGACACCCAGACCTGAACGTCTGCCCTTGAATTACTAGGTTGGGGCCACGTGATGAGTGCCACAATGTGGCGTGCATGCTTTGGGTTGTCAGACTATGATCTCACTATTTCCTATAATAACTATTGTTCTCTTTGGCTATAATAATATATATTTATACACATGTTTTTATCTAAGGATGTTTTGTATTTTAAATTTCAAATTTTTTCTTTTTAAAAGGACATAATGAACAGTGAGAAAAGTTATGATTCATTGCCCAATTTTACTGCTGCTGACTGTAAGTATTTAAGTATGTAAAAGGAGATACTGTTTAGATTGTATCGTGGTGCATTAATACTACTGTCTGTCAATATGTATGTTTTAATATGTGTTTTTAGCCTGAAATACCTGAAAAATGGGACTAGCAAGCAATGTTATTAATAGGAATTTTTATTAGATGACACAAGTCAAGTGCAAGGCTTAGCTGAATATCTAAAAGAGGAATATTTTAGAGTGGTAGAATCAGCATCAGGTAAATAGGACTAATCTATATATTTCTGGAGAATGAAACTCTTTCTGACACCTGGGCTGTGGGTATACCAAATGAGGGAAGAAACTTGCATACAGTATTTTCGAAGTGCGATAGATGGTTTTTACTAACAGAATTTGCTGACGTTTTATTATTCTTATTTTTAAGTAAGTGTATATTTTGAAATCTGACAGTTTGGTTGTGTAAGAAGCTTTTGCTGAGGAGTACATTTTGATTTCCTGAAATTGAGAGGACTTCTACTTTTTAAAAATATTCTGATTTATTATAAGTGTCAGCTTGAATTCATCTCTCCCAAAGTTTAGTTTCTTTTATATTTGTTTGAAGAATTAACTTTAATTTGATATCGATGACCCAATCATCAAAAGTTGAACACAAGCTGACGATTTTTCCTAAAATCACTTGTGAGTGTACTGACCTTTCAAGATGTGTGAAAAGTTTTTAAGGGAAAGACTCTTTCTTTCAGGTCTAAGGCTTCTTGGCATAGGAAGAAATCAGTATATTGATCTTATGAATCAGTGTAGATCATCAAAAGTAAGTTAGTCATTTCTCTTTTTTTTCATTGTTTGGCTTTATCACACAATTTGATTAGTTTTTATAAGTGACAGAAATAATAAATTGTATTTCTTTGTTCTAATGTACTTAGCACAGAAACAATACAAAAAAAACTCTGTACTCTATAGTATGCCTTACGTGATTACTGAATTAGAAAATAAGGCATAAAGTTTAAGGTTTTTTAAAAACCTTTTGTTCTTTTGATCTTTTTACTTACCTATTTTACTATGGGGTTCACTTAATGGATGACTATGGATACATTTTCAAGTGCATTGTTTACCTCTTGGATTTCCTTTGAATTTCTGGATTTAGATCTAGATTTAATGATCAGTGTTGAAACAATTTAATAATGACTTTCTTCATTCAGTATAGCTGGCATAGTTAAGATTTTAAAACATGAGTGTTTAAAAAGTTATTTACTTAGCCTGTTAGAAATAATCTTACTATATGATGAAAGTCATAATTTTTGGTTGACTATGAATTCTCAAATGTTTGTACCATTGCAGAAATTTTTCAGAAGGAAAACGGCCCGTGATCTTCTACCAGTAAAGCCAGTGGAAATTGCTATTGAAGCATGGTGGGTGGTGCAGTCTGGATACATCACAGAAGATGACATCAAGGTAGAGATCTTTAAAAGTTAAAGACAAAAATTTTTTCACTTATTTAACAGTTTTTAATTATAGTTCTATAATTATTTTTTAAAGTAGTGCTATTTTGTTTTCCTATTAAACTTGAATTCAAAATTTAAAATGATCTTAGTAGGCTAGAATATAGGTGAGTTTCCAAGATGTTCTTTAATGGTGAGGGAGACTAGATTGGTTCAAGTACAATTGTTTGGGAGTGTTAATTAGATAGAAATTTCATGTTAAGTAGGATGATGCCACAGCTGCCAATAGCAGTAACAGTGGCTAACACCTTTGAACACCTGCCATGTGCTAGATGTGCCAGGCATGACTGCAAGTGCTTTTTATATTGTCTTACTTAATTTTCGTAACAAACTCAGAGATTCGTGTTATTTGTACCCCTGTTTTTCAGGTGAGGAAAGTGAGCACAGAACAATTAAGTAATAGCTCAAGTCATATTTGTAGTGAAGGTTTAGGATTTTCACCCAGGCAGTTTGCCATGGAACCGGTACTCTTAATCACTGTGCTGCACTGCTACACTGAAGTGATAAGGTGCTTTGATGGGGGTGATAGTGCCAAGACCAAGGGAAAAAATTATATTCCCAATGGTCAGATCACATTTTGGAAGGGAGATTGATTTAGGGGAAAGGGGTGGAGAGATGGAGGGGCCTAGAGAACAGGCCATATTTATGTGTGGTTGAAGGATTGTGAGTATGTATACTTTTTTTAGGTTGCATTTAATTTTTCTCCAGAGGGTGTATTAAATCCAGTGAGTGGAAGGCTTAGAAATTTTGCTTCAATATAAGTACTTTGTAATAGAGGTCTCAAATTGTATCCTAATAATCTACTACCCCTTCCTACACTGATCATATTCGTGTGGAATTTGAGTAAATTTCTGATTTGAGAGATTCAGAATCAGCAAATGAATCTAATTCCAATTCATAGACAAAGAGTAAATATTGGTATTTATTAGTGAACAGTTATTGCTAATCAGCAAATATTGGTACTTATAGTAACTTTGTTCTCTAAGTTCTAGATATATGCATATTTTTTTATTTGGATTCTAGAGTGCTAAATGAAAAAAAATATGTAGTTCATTCAGCTGATGCCATGTAATAATTGGTTTCAACATGAATAAATTTCAGGAGACTTATGAATTAGTTAATTTGGACAGAACTTAATTGAAAATATTTTGCTTTTCTTAGATATGCACTTTGCCTGAGAAATGCGCTATTGATAAGATCATCGATTCAGGCCCTCAACTCTCTGGATCACTAGATTACAATGTAGTACATAGTAAGTGGTTAGTAGCAATGTCTATTGTCAACATAAGAACTTGTTTTAAGCCATCATTTACTTACCAAGTAGGTACAAATAGTACTTTTCCCTAAGGCATGTTATTGTTTGAAATATGATTTCAGTATGTTATTTTCCACTGTGGCTATAATTAGTCACATACACTAGAAATTTATACAAATCAATGGTAAGAAAAATTTTGTAGTTCTGAGCATATGTAGGAAATCAAGGTTTAAAAATTTTAATTATTTTTCTCTTCTATTTTACTTTTTCCTCTTCCCTTAGCATTTAGTTGTAAGAATCTTTACAGAAAGATAGGAATCAATTTCTTTTAAAAAAATTGCTATTATGTAGTGTTCCATTGAAAACAAAGTTCTTTTGCTTCTATAGGTTTATATAACAAAGGCTTTATTTATCTGGATGTACCAATATCTGATGACAGTTGTATAGCAGGTAAGTTTGTGGCAACATTTTTTAATGTTTTCTGAATGGCTCTAGGTGCTGCCTGCTGCATATCATCTATTGTAGGATCTTAGATGGTGTGATTTTTCAAAGAAAAACATTTCTTCTTCATTACCTTCAAAACATTGTAAAGGTTTTTCTTAAATTCCTTATATTTATTTTTGTTATTTTGGTGCACACACTACCTAAAATTAATAGAAATGTCTCACCATCCCAAATCAGTATTTTTATAAATTCGTGTGACCTTTTAGTCCTTGTTCAGGGAATGATAGTTTTTACATATTCATTTGACTGCAGAGTACTCAGAAATGTGCCAGTCTAGACATTCAGTGATTGCAACAACTGTTACGATACGTGTTGCGCTGCTGGACATATAGTACAACTCAAAACATCAAAATCATATATTTCTGGATTCCGAATGTCATCTCTCCATTGAAGTTACCAAGGATTGACTTCTTTTACATTTGAAATAGGTTCTACCCTTTTGTTTTCCAAATTGGATTCTGGGGTGCTTGACATTTGTTGTGAGAAGTATTATTAAAGCTGCCTCTAGTTCACAGGGCAGCCTAGTCTGTAGCTCTTCAAGTTGTCCTGTGTCAAGCATGTGAGCAGCTTTTCTGAGAAACAAGGTTTTCTCTCTCAGGCTGTGAGTGCCAGGGTTGGTGGTGGCTTTATTACCTGGAGGTGATAACAGTGATCAAGTCTTCTGAACCTGATGACTCTTTGAATTTATGGTACCCTATATTTACATATACTCCCACAAGAATCCACTATTTGCACAAATTATTTCAGGCACAACTGTGAAAAATATCGAGAAGGAAGCATATGTTGCTTACCAAGTCAAGTCAGGTGACGTAACAGTAACATGTGTCCTCAAGTTTTTGTTTGCAAAGTGAATAATGCGTCATTTGCACCAAAGGAATGTCTTGAACATCTTGTCTGAATGCCTGTAGGTGTTGTTTAAGCCAAAGGTTAATATTATAGAATTTTATGTTCTCTATTTTCACTTAACATTCCTGTGAGGTTGGACACTAAAGGTCATGAATGCAGCCTAGAAAAAGCCCTACGTTCCTCATTGCTGACCGTTGCTGTAGTCACCTTTGAGGTACTCCCTTTGGCCATCTGGTGACTGTAGTGATGTTAAGCAGTGAGATAGGCAACACTTTTTGAGTTCCAGAACTTAATCCTCCAGCCTCGTATGTCTTGATTTTTCATGTTACTATAGTCTTTGTCTGTCTTTACTTCATTTTCCCTTCTTCCTCTACCCACGTACCCAAGTTAAGCCAATGTTAAGTGGCTTGTGCATTTCCTTCTACATCTTAGGGTTGTATCAGTTTATTAAATCATTTCCTACTGCTGGCTATTTAGATTATTTTCATATTTTTTGCACTACAGCAGTGATATGGTCAGGGTCCTTACCACGAAGGTGCTTTTCTTACCAGTTTGTAGAAGCCCTTGTTATATTCAGGTTATGTGTTACAAGTATGTTTTCTAGCATATCTTTTAGCTGTTGTTATTGTTTGTATATCTTTTTCACATACTTAGATAGTTAATATTTATTTAATCAAATATAAGGTGTCAAAAAATTCCAGGGAATGCTATTATTATTAACAAATGAATAGTAGTGGGGCTCGTTGCAGAATCACTGCCTCATATTGGTGTTGAATCTTGACAGTTTATCACACTCTCCTGTCCTGACTTTATTTGGGTTAGCATTTGTTTGTGATTTTTTAATAATGCATTTTGAACCATGTAAATACACAAATTGTGTTTTAAGCTTTGAAGGGAAGTAAAATGAAAAGTAAATGGGATATTAATTCATTTCATGTAGATGTTGCTATAACAAAATACTAGTTTTAAAATTAGAAAGGCGGCTCGGTGCCTGTGGCTCAAGCAGCTAAGGCACTAGCCACATACACCTGAGCTGGCGGGTTCACGTCCAGCCCGGGCCTGCCAAACAACAATGACGGCCGCAACCAGAAAATAGCCACATGTTGTAGTTATTGAACCCCATTAGCTGGGTTCAAACCCAGCCCCAGCCAAAAACTGCAAAAAAAAAAAAAAAGTTTAGGTTTTAGGTGCAGTTAGATGGTTTAGGCCAGGGGACACAGAGATCCTCAAATGCTGCTGTGGTTTAGGCATTCCTGGGATATTTTCAAGGGAAGTGTACACATGGGAGAATGGCAAAGGAAGGCATAGCACCTCCTCATTATCGGCTGTGCAGTGCCCTCTGATGAGTCAGATTAGAGCAGCAGTTCTCAACCTGTGGTTTGTGACCCCTTTTTAACAATGAACATACATTGAGGCATTAGGAAAGTTGAGAACCACTGGATTAGTGCATTTGGACCAAGGAGATAGAAATGAGTATGAATGAACATTCAGGTGGAGAGTGATGGTTGGGCTTCCTTCTGTGCTGAAGAAGATTTTGACTCTCTTGCCACTGGGCGCACTTAAAGGAGGATCCAGAACAGAAAGCCCCAAAGAGCGGATTATACTAATGACTGCCAGTGAACGTGGCAAATCATACAGAAGAATTTCCTGTCTTCTCTGATGGAGATGCACAGAGAGCCAGTACTTTCCACCCACCTGGTTTTCATCCTGCATAGCAACTCTTGTGGTCCTTTGCTTTTCTGCCTTGGCCCAGTCACCTCTGCTACCAGTGAAGCATGAAAAACCCACACATCAAATGCTCTGAAGCCTCTTGCACGCTGAAGCAGCCTTTGTTTCATTATTCTTCTGCCAAATCCATATCACCCGGCATTTCCTCTCTCTCAGTAACTGAGAGTCTGTGGTGAATTAATTTACTCTTTGTGGTTTCTTAGTCTACTTTCAGTCTTTCTGTATAGACATTGTCATATATGGCCTTAACTTTGGGAGTTTTAGATAACTTGCTGTGGAGTGGATAAAGTAAATCAAAAGCTGTGTTCAGTTCCTCAGTTAGAGGTTTCTTTGTTTAATTAGATACTTAAATTATACTTTCTTATTTTATATGTACATGTAAAATCATATCACTGAGAAGAGTCTGTTTTGTTTATTTTAGTTCCTCCTCTTGAAGGTTTTGTAATGAATCGAGTGCAAGGTGATTATTTTGAAACTCTACTCTATAAGATATTTGTTTCCATAGATGAGCACACTAACGTTGCAGAGGTAAGTGTGGAAACATGAAAGAATATAATCTCAAGATTGAAAATGAATTTGTGAAAAGTGGATAAAATGTTTTAATGATGATGTTAAAATGTTTTCAGAATCTGTATATAGGGAGATCATAGACCTTAATACGCTTAAGTGTCACTTATAGGGAGATCATAGACCTTAATACACTTAAATATCACTTAAATTCTTGCATGTGTATATTACATTTTTTTCAGTTAATAATTTATAATTTGGTTAAATAACTTTGCATGACTATAGTAAAGTATTTTAGACTATCTTGATCTATCTAGGAATTTTCTTCTTTTAAATGAGACAAAATTAATGAATAAGAAATTTTAAGTTCTTATGGTCACTATCTGGATCTGTACTACTCTAAAGATCTTAGAGGTAGGGAAAGAAAAAAGTTCTGAATTCAAAGACTATTCAGGCTTTCAGTTATTCATAAATAAAAATGTGTGGATTGTTATCACTTTGTTAAAATTGTGTAATGTGTTCATAATTCTGAGAATGTAAAATTAAATTTTTAAATTTTATTTTACAGCTTGCAAATGTCCTTGAGATAGACTTATCCCTGGTTAAGGTATGTTATTTCATACTCATTTTACTTGCTTTGCGAATACTGACCAGATTTTACTAGTAGATTTTGATCTTAATAAGCTACTAAGAGATAGGCATGGAGGTTCTTGTCAGCTGTCTGAGGGAGTACACAATAAAGGGGTGCTTGCAAAGACAGGAAAGAGCAACCTTGGGTCAGGATTCTACCACATGAACTGAAGGAAGAATCCTAAGGGGTATCTTGAAATGTGGGAGGAATGGAGGGCAAGGCCAGAGAGTGGGGAGCATTCCCTCCCATGCATTTGTGAAGGCCTTGAGGGAGGAATACCTCTACTGAAAATTGGTTTTTCTAGTTATGGGTTAAAAATGTTTGAGAATCATCATTAGTTTATTACGTATTTTTTGTACTAACATTTTGATGTCTAGTTTATTTTAAATGCTAATTTCCTGTGTATTTCTTTTCAGAATGCTGTTTCAATGTATTGCCGATTGGGCTTTGCCCATAAGAAGGGACAAGTAATAAATTTGGAGCAGCTTCATTCATCATGGAAGAATGTTCCATCCGTAAACAGATTAAAGTAACTCATTTATTCAGTATGAAAGAAAGATTAGAGTTTCCTTTTGAAGAAACATTTAATTTTACACACAAAAATTTCACTTAATCTGTCATTTGAGGCGAATCCTATATATTAATGATGTTTAATTTTTTGTGTGGGATGGATCTTTTTTAGAATCTGATGAAAAGACCTTTTCCCCCAAAAAGAGCATAAATAGTTTTACAAATAATTTTGAAGGATTCTTGAATTCCTTGAAGCCTGTCCATGGGTCTTAGTTAAGAACCCATGCTGTATGTGAGCAGAGCATCTTAGAGCCACATCTCAATTACTGGCTTGAATTTAAGACTGGATGTAGATGGATTATTTATAATTTAAGTAGTGACTTCATTGGATATTTTTATGTAAGATTATTCATATGATTTTTAAAAGTGAATGTATTCTTTATTAACAGGAGTACTTTAGATCCACAGAAGATGCTGTTATCATGGGATGGCGGTGAAAGTAGGAGTCCTGTACAAGAAGCTTCGTCGGCTACTGACACTGATACAAATAGTCAGGAAGATCCAGGTTAGCAGTAACTCAGTTGAATTTAGAGTCTGTCGGTAGGGATAGCACATGTCCAGACACTTTTACAGTAATTTTATTGTTTTATTTCATATTTTATTAATACACAGTCTCTGTCTATTGTGCTAAGTCTTAGGGTAGAAAATTGACAAGAACTTGGTATCTTCCTTCTAAGAATTAAGTCTAGAGAAAGAAGAGGGAGTCCAACAAAAACTATAATAATGTGAGAACCAATTATAATGCTTATAGGGTGCAAAGAGAAAGGTTTATTGGCTAGAGTGGTTTGGGCAGTATTCACAGACAAGCTGTTATTTGGGCTGAGATGAAGAGTCTGCTAGCTGGTCAGTGAAGGCAGGCCATTTCAGCTGAAGAGCACAGCGTGGACCAAGCTCCAAGGGAGGCAAAGCACAGTGGATGAGGGGACTGCCTGTGGTTTAAAGTTGGGAACAGGAACACAATTGTAAGAGGGTCTTTACCTAACAAATGCAATCAGTGTAACCTGGTTTCTTGTACCCTCAGTGAATCCACAATAATAAAAAAATAAATAAATAAAGTTGGGAGCAGGAAGGAGCACAACATGGGCTGTTCCCTGTTGCCTGAACCACGTGATGTGTCTGAAGAGATTATGCTAATTAGTCTTGTTAGTCTGACAGTTATTGAAACCTTTATTAGAGTTGTCAAATTTTTTATAAAAGTAAGTGCTTTGTGGGTGGCACCTGTGGCTCAGTGAGTAGGGTGCTGGCCCCATATACCAAGGGTGGCGGGTTCAAACCCAGCCCTGGCCAAACTGCAGTAAAAAAATAGCTGGCATTGTGGCAGGCGCCTGTAGTCCCAGCTACTTGGGAGGCTGAGGCAAGAGAATCACCTAAGCTCAGGAGTTGGAGGTTGCTGTGAGCTGTGACGTCACAGTACTCTACTGAGGGCTATAAGTGAAACTCTGTCTCTTAAAAAAAAAAAAAAAAAAAGTAAGTGCTTTGTAACATTTTTAAAAAATTTCCTCTGCTTAAAGATAGATATGGCTGGAACCTGTTATGTACTTTCTGGTTATCAAACAAAACTGAAATGAAATATTTTTTCATTCATATGGTAAGCAAAGAATAATTTTTATTTACTTGATTGTTTCTTTTCAGCTGACACTGCCAGTATAAGCAGTCTGAGTCTGTCTACAGGATACACAAAACGTATCGCATTTCTATTTGACTCAACTCTTACTGCCTTCTTAATGATGGGAAATCTTTCACCAGTAAGTCAAGTTCTTGTTTAAATATGAAGGTGCTAATAAATAAATAAATACTTGAACGCTTTTATATCTCTTAAAGTACTACATTAGTTCCTAAAAACACAACTGACTGTTTTAGTTCCTTAGAGGAGTGTAGTAACTTTTATAATTGGAAAAATTAGCCCCCTCCCTCATTCGCCTTTAGGTTTAAATACACTGGAAAGCATAATATAAATATAATATGCTTTGCATTAAAAGGGGGCACTTGAATTTTAATATGTTTTTTCTTTTTTTCAGAACTTGAAAAGTCATGCAGTCACAATGTTTGAAGTAGGCAAACTCTCAGATGAGTCCCTGGACAGCTTTCTTGTAGAACTAGAAAAGGTAAATAGGGATTGCATGTTAGGGGATGTCAGGGCAGTTGGAACCTTTTTTGCATGAGAAAGCATCAGTTATGCGGTCTGTTGATTGTGATGGGTTTTTGGTATATTCTTGCTCATACCTCATTCCCAGCTTAATATTGTGCAGTCATTCAGACTGAGACATATTGAGTGGGGTGAGTGCATTTTGTGATTTTTAAAGTGATATGTCTACCTCATCTAACTTTTAACATAATTTGATATAATGAAGAAATGGGGTATAGAAATTTTAGTCTGTAGTTTTTTTAATTGAAATTTTTCTAAAATAGCCTTTCATTTTTTCTGGTATCTCTCTGAGATCACCTCTTAAGCAGTTTTATTTGAAATTTTTGTTCCAGTTATCTTAAACCTGGAACAGTGTCCCTGGGTATCATATTTATGTCCACTCTCACTGTCCCTTTTAGCTTCTTGAAGACTTCAGCCATATTTGCTCTTAACCACCTTTTCCCCCGTGAGTACAGCCCTAGTTTTCCTTAGCTCTGAATCATGATTGCCCTTTATTGGTGTTTTTCATTCTTTGGATATTTTATTCTGTCCTCTGCTTTTCTTTATATGCAAGTAGTTTGTGTGCCTAATCTGTTCCTTTACTAATGATTTGGTGCCTTTTGTGCTTTAGTGATGAACTCTATATTAAATGTGCTATTTAGAGAACTTGTTATGATTCTGTAATTCGTCTATCTTTTTTAAAAAAAGATATATATTGCTGCTCCTTCTCCATAGGATTTTTACTTTTATTAGCATAGAAATACATATGAGATAATCTTTTCCTATTAATTGACCTATTTTGTCTTTATTCTTTCATTATTTGTATTTTATTAACCCCATTTATTACTGTGTATCATTTTTTTGCCAATAAATCTTTTACTGTGTTCCTGCACATTTTAAGTTCTGATCTCCCAATATTTATCTTTCTTGCCTTAGCTAGTCTTTTAGCAAATGTTGCAGGTTGCAGCATTACATCTGCTCCTCTCATTCATAAATCTATGTTCTTTTTTTACTGCATAGTCATTTCTGGAAATGCCACTTAGTCCAAGGTTCAGTTTAAAAAATTGTTTCTTAGCTACTTTTAAAATAGTATAATCTTGATTTGTTTAATTCGTTGATTTTGTTAATTTAATTCAAATCAAATTTAGGTAGACCTGTCACTCCATTTTCTGTGCTGTTTCTGTAATATATATGTCTTTACATATCAAATACATATCAGGTCAGTGAAGGCAGGAGTTTTGTCTGTTTTGTCCATTACTCTATTTCCTACAGAGGTCATAGTACACAGGAGCCACTCAGCAAGTCCTTGCTGAGTGAGTTTAAGCTGCATGTTCAGCAGTGGTGAATAGCTGTATTGAATCACATACTTCATTGTCCCTTACAACTTGTGATACAAAATTGTACACAAGGTGATGAGAATTTTAGGTATAATTAATGACTGTGGATAGGAGTACTTTTCTAAATAAAAGAATATATGAATTTTAGAGAATTTTAAGCATTCTACTTGAATTATATATGGGGCATGTAACTTATGGTATAGTTTAGTATTGTTCTTTTACTAAAATTGTTAGTTTTACTTAGAGTAATTTTTGTCATCTTCATAAATGTTGTAAAATTAGAAATTCAACTAAGATTGAGGTTATTTCAGTATTACCTGGTCAGATTTTTTATGTAATTGCTTTTGAATAGTGTGATCATACCTCTATTGTATAATTGTTTGCATGAATGCCATGAAAGTGGTGTTTGTTGCAAAATCTCTTTTCTCTTGGTTTAGGTTCAGAGCACTGGTGAAGGAGAAGCACAGAGATACTTTGATCACGCGCTTACCCTGAGAAACACGATACTGTTTCTGCGTCATAATAAAGACCTAGTGGCGCAGACGTCACAGCCAGACCAGCCCAATTATGGTATGGTAAATGTGTTTAATTTTGAAGACATGAGCGTATGAAACTCTTTCCTAAGAAGTCAAACAGGTCATGCTCATCAATATAATCATTACTTCATTTTGCATAGATTGCATCTTGAATTTATAACTCAAGTCTTGTTTTGTGAATTTCTTTGCTCGTCAGCTGTTCTTATTTTACTTTTTCTCTTCTTAGGTGACTTTAACAGTCATAGTGTTTAAATCTATTTAGCACCCAGGAAAGGTGGTGGAGTGTTAATTTATTTAAGTGTCTGGATGGAGTTTAGAACAGTCATCAGCTCTGAAGGGTGAACAAATGCCAACACTTAGTTAATATAGGAAGCATAAAACTTCGAGAATGAAAGGTTCCGTTGTATGAAACAATAAACAGAACTTCCTGTTCAAATCTACTGTAATATTTACAGTAATTTATTTTTAAAAAAGGGAACAGATACTCTTTTTAAAGAGTAAAAGAAAGAGTGGCAGTCTTAATGTGTTGAAGAATTATAATGTGGCTGTTGCCCTAGTAGGCACTTTGTGATATTTGGGGGTTTCCACTCTTTAGTTGAATTGATGATAGAATATCTACCCAGAGATTCTGATTCAGTAGATCTTTTTTTGTTGTTGTTTGTTTGTTTGTTTGTTTTTTGAGACAGAGCCTCAAGCTGTCCCCCTGGGTAGAGTGCTGTGGCATCACAGCTCACAGCAACCTCCAACTCCTGGACTCAAGTG